CCTTGGTTATTGGAAGCAGTTACTAAATTCATGAGCTGGCATGTACAGAAAGAAAACTTCATTCTTGATTCACGAGTTTTCTTTTCCTAGAATGTATCCTATATCCTAATTCACCTTCTGATCAAGAGGAAGATTTCTAGGCGGGGCTAACGGCGACTAGGAACTATTGACTTAATGAGCTCTTCTATATCTGGTTATCGAATTAAGTATGATTTGATGACCAGAAATAGCATGGAACCCAATTATTGCAATTGCTTAGCTAGTTAAAAATACCTCATACTCACTGGAATCTCTGGTCCGCACCGGACCAGGTGGTTAATCCCGTCATCGCTACGGAATAGCCGTAATTGGACAAGAACCTTGACTGAATCCAGAAATCTCCATTTTTTTATATTTCATAGATATAGAATGAAAAAATTGTCATAGATTTGATTTCATGATGCCTTGGTGGTGAAATGGTAGCCACGCGAGACTCAAAATCTCGTGCTAAAAGCGTGGAGGTTCGAGTCCTCTTCAAGGCATACTCTTTCGAATGCGAAGAGAGCTCGGATCGATCCAATCTGTATATCAATACCGATTCGATCAATCCGATGAGAGAATCTCTGTTTTACATGAATCCAATTTTGATTTCATCCGGGAAAAGCCATCTTTTTTTCAACAAAGTCTTTGTCATTTGATCCAATAGTGTTCCGTTAGATAGGAACATATTTGATAAATACTGATAACTCTCGGATAGAGTATTAGAAAGGAAAGATCCATTGGATAAGGAACTATTGGTTCTAAGCCATTTCTGACGATGAATCAAAAATTCGAAATGCTTTTCTTGCGTCTTGTTGCTAAAAAAGCGTGTGTTTTTAGATAAAAACATATGCTCAATTTGGGACGTAAGAAGTGCCTTTGCCATCTCTTCCTCTGCAAATAATTCTCGACGTGAAAAAATAGAGCCTGGGGTCTGATCTTTGAATAGCAAAAAGAGTGGATCTGTAGGATCCCAAATGAATTCCTTCGCTCGTGTGTTGTATTGCATGGTTCCCCTCTCCGAATCATTCTCTTCATAGGAAACTCCCAGAAAGCCCCAAGGGCGCCAGAGTCTAGGAGTCCAAACTATGTGATTCAATAAATCCTCCTCGATCTGTTGCGGGCTTTCTTCAAACTCCGATTCATACAGAAATTGCTGATCAAGGATAGAAGAAGATCCCACCAGAGCGCTTTCCAATTCTAATAGGCCATGAACTAGATCAGAGTCATTCTCAACAAGTCCAGAGGAAGTAATCCCATTTTTTCCGGGTAAAGACCAAAGATCTTGAGCAACCGATTAGAAAGGTGCTTACTTTTACCTATTTCTGAGTTTGAGAGTTTGACTCCGCTTTCACAAGTATCGCTAGTATCGATGCACTAAAAAACCACAACCACAGTTGAGGTATAACAAAATGAGTAGGGGCAAGCGGTGTACACTAATCCAAAGGTTGGGGGTTCTTGAAAAGGGGCTACATAGGTAGCTTATATGGTCCCGTCTTCTAATGAAGTAGTGTTAAGTACGAAGTCTCTAGGTCAATTTTCAACAACGGCAATGTAACATCCCGGCCCCTACCATAGCCGTAAGTGTCTGCTCATAGGATTGTAGACTGGCCTCACAAACTAACACAAGTCTTTCCCGCGCACTTTGTCTTTACTCGTGCGCACACAAGAAATTTCCCAGGGGGGTCACCCATTCTAAAATTGCTCTAGGTCAAGCACGCTTAACTTTGAAGTTTCTAGGTGATGAGCTCTCGAAAAGAAGATGCACCTTGTTGGTATGAGTAGTACTATCAATCCTTTTGAGCTCTTCCATTCCCATCTTTATACAGGATATTACAGGCAATGTGAAAGTTCTATCCAATGTGTTTTATTCGCATCGGGAACAACAAGGTCTCTCCATCGACAAGACTAAGATCATACAGTGATGCATTTCATTAATACATTGTTGAGCCGCAAATTAGGAGCACCTGGGGTGGACATAACTTTTTTGAGTAAATTATATAGTTGGTACTTCAAAAACGTGGGTATTTCATATTTAGTTCTTAATTACTAAATATTATGTTTGTGGTCATTCATTAATGTGTATCTTTCCACATATAGTTTTTTTGACCTTTCGTCATGTTGATATTAAGTTGAGTGCTAAAAATGTAATTTCATATCGACCATAGGTCCAACCATGTGTTCTTGTGTCGGCTTGATGGACAATACAACAATAATGACTATGATTACGGATTTGGATTCCAACCAAAACCGGCATCCATATACTATGGTTAAACACTAGTGGTGGGCGGTACGGTGATTCAAGCAGACAAAGGACACATTAACTACAATCGCTGACATTACGATTGTGGATTTGGATTCTAACCAGCGACGACAGTTGTGGACTATTGTTGTGGTGGACGGTGTCTAGTAGACAAACAACACATCAACAACGACCTTATTGGCATTAGTTATAGCAAGAAAGATATATGTCCTATGTGAAAATTTATGGTTTTACCCATGAATTTAACACTAACATCACAGAAGATAAAAATGAGTATAATTCGTGAAACGGTTCCCATATACAAAGGACCATGAACATAATATAATTGATAAAAGAAAATTAAATGAAAAAATATATATTTTAAATGACCAATGTAGAATTTAATCTCTTTTTTTTGTTACACAAATATTAAATCCATTGCCAATCCTAACCGGTGCAGAAGAATGCATTCATACACTAAAAAACTGAGTATAAATTACATTCTTTAAAAGGAACTGCATTTAATTTTATTCCTTATAAGGCAATCAATTCAATTATTTGATTCCTTAAAAGAAAAATGATTAATCCCTCCCTCCCATATCTTTTTTTCATTTGACATGTCATGTTTTTCAATGCAACATTTTAATCATTAATATCTCCCTATTTATATATATAAATAGATTATAAGAATTTGATATTTTAAGCTATGTTTCAAAATAAATTAATTTGTATTAAATTTATATAAGGATTCAATTTATTCTATAATATTTGATCAAAAGATAAAATCATTGATCACAAAATTCAAAATGAGAAGAAAGACACTATGATAGATTTTTTTTAATATTTTGGAAAAATTCAAGTAAATACTTCAACAAAAATTCTCGTTTTGCGATATTACTCCCAAATGTAACTAATTACTCCTCTACTTCAAAATAATTTTTATATTAAAACTACACTCCGAAGTTATAATCAATCCATTATTTACTTCACATGTAATTGACGAGTAAATGTGGATGCTTAAATGGCTTATTAGTTGTATTATCTATTTAAAATAATTGCAGTTGAAATAAACATTACTATTTATATTCTCTAAATTTCATGTTTTTTATTAAAATAATCTACACCCCTATTCTTTCTAATTTCTTCTAATCTCTTCCAGTTTATTGCATTTCTAAGTCCTTCCAAATTCGAATAATTATAACATTTGAGTGTTTGAGAGTTTTTATATTATAAATCTCGATATACAATATTGTTGCATATATATTTTTCATATGCACATTTACACGTTACAATACTCCTTTTATATATTTCTTTTAATAATCATCATAATAATAGGTGAAATAAAAATAATACTCCGGGGTATAAAAAAGCAAGTAAATAATTTTTTATGTCACTATTAGAAATTGGCAAAAGTGACTATTAATTGAAATAATATTTTATTTTCGAGATTGGTAAGAGTGACTACTAAATTTTGGTAAAAATAATAAATTACTTTTCAATGATATTTATAAAGTTCGTATAATTGAAATACCCCGGAGTAATATTCTATTTTTGAAATAAGGGCGGTTCGAACCTGTCACTTCTCATTTGGAACAATTACAATGATGACATAATTCAAACCTTTTAGTAGGGTTTTCAGCATAACTTTAAATATTCTTATCCCATTCGAAGACAAGAAGTATAAGAATGCACTCGAATTATTCAAATTCGTTTAGAAAATATTAAAAATAATATTTCCAAAAATAAATACATTTATTTTTAGTTTATACATGCTTAAATCAAATCAAGTTAATGTATACACATCGCAATATATATCATACAACTGGTTCTGTGGTTGTTTCCGTACATTCTCGGTGAGTACTCATATACACATTTACTAGCTGCGAGATGAGTATATATTATTCATCGGATTTACATTACGGTAGAAACATCGAGATATACAATATAATTCAAACTATTCTTTAGTTTTTTGTTTTTGTTTGCATAGCTTTGAATGTTCTAATCCCGCAAAAGACTAAGAATACATGGGAATAATTCAAATTGTATAAGCTGATCGATAGGGTACACCATGCATCTATAGTTTAGTAGTGAGTCTAGCTAGTCTAGCTTATTATTATTATTCCAAACATTTTTGTTATTTACAAGGGAAAGGGAAATTAGAAAAACAATTTATAAAGTTATTCCCTATTAAATGATTGATCTAAAAGGGAAAAATAATTAATTACAGAGTAATTAATTATTTGATCTAATCAGGAAGAGGTATCAAAGAGTCTCTTCTTCAAAGGAAACCTACAAACTGAATTCTCCATGCAGGAATCGAAGAACATCTCCACCTCTTCATGACTGTTGCTCTCAAAGAACTCTAACTCCGGCGCTGGAGATTCATCATTGACCGACCTGCCCTTCTTCAATGGAGCCAGAGGGCAGTTTTCGATCGCCGGAATCTTGTGTTTTTCAGATTCCGGCGTTCGGAAAACGTTTCCCTCAACCTCTTTGTTATCCTTGTTGTTTTCTTCTTGTTTTTCTTCCCTTTTGGCGAGACTCAATATGGGTGGGGGGTCCATACGAAGATTCTTAGACATTGGATTAGTTTGGGCAAGACAAGAAAGGAGGGAAAGGAGAGGGAAATTAAAGGAGGGAGTTGAAGGAGATAAGGAGAAATGAGATTCTTTTGTAATTAAAAGGATATTTCTCTAGACTTATAAGACTCATAACCTATTGTTTTGTATTTTGAACATTAATTATTCATTATTACTCTCTCCAAAAAAATCAAGTATTTAACTTTTCATTGTTAAATAGTTATAAATGTTGACTATAAATTGTGAAGGAAAATATGTATTTAGTTTTAATATTATAAATTTGATCTAATTAGGTTGATTATATCAAATGTATTTAATATTTACTTATATACTCCCTCTGTTTGGTAAAACAGTTCCTATTTTGACTTCTGCCAGGTTTATTTTCATAATTTGACTTTCGAATTATATCCTTAACGTCAAAGAAAAAAAAGAGAGATACTCATTTAAATAAATTATTGTATCGATGTAAAATGAATGGAGTATATTATATTGCAATGACTTTATTTGAATATATTAGTCACTTTTTATAAAAGTGGAAATATTTTGTTGCAAACAAAATAAGGAAAGAAAAATACTTTGATGAATGGAGTGAGTACAATTATAGTTATTAATAATGAGTCCCAAATTGTTGAAGAGTGTGGACACTATTCAATTTATCAGATTGAATTAAATTTCAATAATTCTTATGTTCACAAAATCACATACTCCCTCCATCATGAAGTATTTGTCCTATTTTGATTTTATGTAGCCAGTTAGGATCAATCTTTAGTTTATATTTAAGTTTTCAAGTCTTTCCTATTATCATTTACACTTGTTGGCCACATATCAGTGAGTTCATGCTCAAGTGAAACTGCATTCTCTAAGACCACTTTCAATTTTTCGTAATCTCGCCCTCTAAGAAGAATGTAGTTGTAAAACTTGCACCAAATATTTGATAAAGTTTGGTTTTCTAGCTTGGTTGTGTTAAATCTTTCATATAAATGAATTGTGCCTTCAACAAGAGCTCTTTTTTGCCTCTTATGTCCATATTTCAAACATATAAATCTTTGATAGCTCACTAAGCCCTTGGCCATTCAAAACTGATAGAATATTCCAACAAGGGATTCCTTGTGACACAAAAAATGGCATGAGCATGTGGCACCCTTTTCAGTCAGATCTCTGTAGCCCAATGTGTATGCTTTCCTTCTGCACCACGATTATCTCTTACAGTTGTCATTGTTTGACCTTCAACAAATTCCATTCCTTGTATACCGCAATAGCACAAGCCAGTCCAAAACTCTTCCTGAAACATGTAAAATTTGTGTGGGTAAAAACTTGCCGTGCACGGGGCTCCAAGGGTAGGTGTGTTTTGAGAACAAGATTTGATGTCAATGATGCATTCTGTTATTTGTACTCATTGTCACGCTGAGCATCAATGGCATGCTGAAAGCGCACACAAAATTCAATCACACTTATTTGTTGGCTTGTCAAACAACTAAATATTTTGTGTTGGCTTTGTGAACCTAAAGTTGTTCTTACGGCATCACCTAAATATGTGGTATCAAAATGTACTTGTGCCCATTGCTCCCTTATTGAAATGATATGTGTGAACCAATCATTATGCAACAAATCAAAATAAGTTATTATTCTTACCCATTCTTGTTCAAATTCTTCAGGACTCTCTGAGCCCAAACACAAGATTTCAAAAGGGTACGAAAGTCTTCATATGAATTTACGGCATGACCAACATATTTTGGAACTTTTTTCAGTATATGCCAAATGCAAAACCTATGTGTTGAGTTTTGAAATAATTTTAAAAGGGCTAACCTGATTGAATGATCGTGATTAGTAATTATACAGATTATTTGCTTCCCTCCCCATGACTCTAACATTTTTTAAAATAGCCAAATAAAGGAGTCTCTTTCTTGATTACAAATAATGCTGCCCCAAAATAAATCAACTTATGGCGGTTATCCACACTAGTAAAGGGGTTAAAGTAAGTTCATACTTATTCGTGCCATGTGTGTGTGTCAGATGAGAGTATATATCTCTGATAGGATAATATCCCTCGAGCCTAAATAAAGATATTGGGCCGGTCCACAAGAGAAGCCCCTTAGGGATTCCTAACCCTAGGTTCCCACTATGATACTATATAAGGGGTACAAATCCAAGAAGAAAGGGGAGCCACCTTCTACATTCCCCACATAATGTATTCACCATGTTCATCTTCTCCTTCTTGATGGAGCTTCGAGCTCCATCAATGGCTCTCACGCAAATATGTTGTACAGATATACCCCCGATATATAATAAAACATCCCCGTTGGCATGATACCGCCGAAAAAGGCCCGTGGTTTTCACTGATTTGGTTTCCATGTCAAAAGTCTATTGTCTATGTTCTTGTTTATATATTTTTCGTATTTTATACATGTAACGTATAGACAAAAAAATACACACCCGGGGGGTTTTGGTCTATCAAATGGTGCTTTCATTGAGAGAAGAAATAATGCTAAGGGAAATCCTCTCTTTCAGACAGGTTACAAGCATTACTCTTCTAAAAAATAGATCCATATCCTGACCGAGCTGAACTCCAAATCCCTCTCCCAAGGTCTCTTGTCCGGATCCAACTACAGATGTCATTCGCTGAACCACTTCCCTGGACTCCAGGATCAGAGGATGAGAAGATTTAGGGAACCACCTCGCCGAACTCCATTGTAGGTCACCCCACCAATGACTGCCGTCGGGGTCCCAAATTGTCGCCGTCGTTGAGATCGCGTCTGTCCCGCTGGTGCAGTTCAAGGAGCCGATTCAGATCCGGAGTAGCAATTGCATCGGAGGGGTGGGGCTTCACGTGTAGTCAGTCGCGCCACCCAGGGCTCATAGCCGCTGTGAGGGTGACCAAGCCTGCCGTCGGTTCAAAAAAGGGGAGAGAGACCATGGCAGGTTGTCTGCCGTCGTCCTCGAACCACCTCAGCCTCCTCTCCTCAAAGCCGCCGCTGGTCGCCTCTTCATTGACCGCCGCGGGTCGCCTCGACGCTAACTGTCGCTGGTTGCCTCGATGCTGACCGTTGTGGGTCGCCCTGACGCTGACCGCCGCAGGTCGCCTCGTCGCTGACCGCCGCGGGTCACCGCGTCGCTAACAGCCGCGGGTCGCCTCGTCGCTGACCGCCGCGGGTCTCCCCGTCGCTGACTGCCGCGGGTCTCCCCGTCGCTGACCGCCGCGGGTCGCCTTGTTGCTGACTATCGCAGGTCGCTCTGTCACTGACCATTCTCAGGTCGCCCCATCTCCGACCTCGTGAGTCGCGGGCCCACCAGGCTGGCCGCCGCTCATCACAGCCATCGCCACAAGTCACAAGACTCCAAATGACCTCACAGGGGACGAAAGTTCTCCACTGGTCGCCCAACCTGCAGCCACCATCCCGCCTTCCAACTCGCCTCGTCACCTACCCTTTGGCAATTGCGGATGGCCACAGATCTGAAGGGCCCACGATCATCTCGATTCGCTAAATGTGGACTTGAGGAAGGCGGTCATGGAATGGAAGCGGCCACTACGTTGCCAGAAGCTTCGTCGAGAACCGCCGTTGGTGGCCTTGCCTCTGACCAGCGTAGTCCCGTCATAGCTGCTGCTTCCACTGGTCCATGAGGCCGCTGGTGCATAGATTGGAGGTTACCGCCGTGAATGGCCCCATATCGCGTACACCGCATCATCATCAGCCGGTGCTCCTAGAACTCGTCTTTGCCGCCTTTTGCCAATTGACGAGTTTCTGAGAAATGCATCCGGCTTTTGGAAATAGAGGAATTTAAGTAATTTAAGTAATTAGCACTAAAACATAATGATTTTCCTTAAATAGCACTACATATTTTTTTTTCCCTAATGTAACACTTTTAGTCATTATTCATTAGTCATTATTCAAGTAAATGTTTGTCATCACTGGTCATTATGGACATTATTAAGTGCTATCTAGGGAAGAAAACAATCTAAGTACTATTTAGAGAAATGACTTAAATTTTAGTGTTATTTATTGCAAATATTTCTTTGGGAATAAGTGAGACCGATAGCAAAGTCGCCTAGGCCAGGTTTTTAGGCTTCATGTATTGGGCCATTGTTCTAAGCCCCAAATTGGGTTTCACATTAGATCTGCCAAAATGTTTGGTGGTCCGTTAAAAGAAAGAGGGGATATCGTTGAGTAGTGTACTCACAAGTGAGAAACTTATTGGAGCCACTTACTCACAAACAAAAAAACAAAAAAAAAATCTGAAGACGACCAATGTGAGACTCGCTCCAAACTTTGTTTCATAAAATCTCAAGTCTATTAGAGTTTAGCGTTTGACCTCCATATTGAGAGGAAGGCTAACCACCTCATACGGTGGAAGGTCACATCATAAAAAACTCAAAAAAGTTGGGACGACGCCAAAAGCACACCTCGTGAAAATCACTATGGAAACGCTAAAATTGGCTAAGTCCCAAGAGTTCACACCCCAGGATAAGTGGGTGCGTTCTCACAAGTCATCGATGTAACAAATAAAATAATAGGCAAAGCCTATCCAAGCCCACAAAAGTGGCACCCAATCAAACACTCACAAATACAACCTCCCCATGAGATATTCATCAGAATCCCCTTTCGAGGTCGGCCCTAAACCACCTTGAAAGGCTTCACTCAAGCCCTCGTCCTACGAGGCACAAAAGTCCTCTCCCAAGGTCGGCCCTTAAACAACCTTGCGAGGCCACCAAATCCATCATCTTCTGAGGTTCCAAAGTCATCTCCTAAAGTTGATCTCGACCACTTTGCGAGGCAACTAAAGTCTCCCCCGAGCAACATGTGTCCCTCAATTAGGACGCCCTAAAAGCCCTCTCTTCAAAACACAACGAAGCCATCTCATGGACTTCGTAGTTGCTCGGCGAGGCAAATGTTTTTAATTTTTTAGGTACTCGAAGAAGAGAAACTTAAGGAGTCAAGATTCGCGCCTACACTGGTAGAAGCTTCAAGGGATTCCGGTGCAAGAGAGTGTCGATTGAAGAAATTCACAGAGACGACAAAAAATTATAGTTTCTCAGTCAACACTTCGCGTTCAGTCAGAAACTGGGGGGCTTGTGATAGGATAATATCCCTCGGGCCTAAATAAAGATATTGGGCCGGTCCACAAGAAAAGCCCGCTAGGGATTCCTAACCCTAGGTTCCCATATGATACTATATAAGGGGTACAAATCCAAGAAAAAGGGGAGCCACCTTCTAGCTCCCCTTTTCATCTTCTCCTCCTTGATGGAGCTTCGAGCTCCATCAATGGCTATCACGCAAATATGTTGTACAGATATACTCTCGATATATTATAAAACATCCCCGTTGGCATGGTACCGCCGAAAAAAGGCCCGTGGTTTTCACCGATTTGGTTTCCACGTCAAAAGTCTATTGTCTATGTTCTTGTTTATATATTTTTCGTATTTTATACATGTATCGTATAGACCAAAAAATACACACATGGGGAGTTTTGGTCTATCAATCTCCAAATGAAGAGTAATTTAAACAATTTAATGAATCAGCCCAAAACACTCTCTTCAAGCGTCTCTCTTCATCCACTTCATACGCGAAGTAAAGCCCTAGATATGTCTCTTTTCTCCTTTTTAACGTTTCGATAAACATATGGGCACCATTGTCCTTAATGATGGCCTTCAGGCTTCGTTGATAGTTGAAAAAATATTTTTTCGTACAACCCACATTTTGATGACCCATCATTACCTCAGAAGTAACATCAAAAACCTTAGAGGGACCTACATTGACTCTACTAGCACTACACAACATGTGCTTGTGAGTTGTAGAAACTTTCCTCGATGAAGATAGGAAATGCGCGCCTTCTGCTCGGAGTAACCATGGGATGGACATGGGACTCTTCAAACTGAATAATCTTACAACCCTCCTCACATGAAACCACTAGAAGAGGAGCCCAACAGCCTTCTTGAGTTTTAGCTCTTTTCTTTCAGTTTGGTTGTTTTCAAGTTATGGACTTTTTGGATAGGAGATCCCGTTCTTCAGTATGTGTTATAACTTCAAGGCCAATTTAAGGTTGTTTCCTATAGCCTTTTTTTGAACATACATATGTTTTCCAAGTTTTATCACCATTTGTACTTAAGATAAACCATAGCGTATGCTAAAACCTGATGCATGAGCATACTGATTGCAGAAAGCTTGGCAATATGCAAAACTTGAAAAAATTGACCTGTTTTTATCTTTAAATCCTCAGGTACATCAGGAACCCAATTCCCCAATGTTATACAATCAAATGATGGCATTTTTGGAAAACTAGAATGAATTGAACAATTTTCCATTTGCAAAAGATATGAACAACCAACCCAATATATAAAAAAAGAAAGAGTTAATCTTATTTTCAGAAAAATATGCTAAACTACATGATCTATCCTTGGGGGCATGTTGTGTTGAGGCTCATGCATCCTTTAGTGACAAGGCTAGTAATTCTATTATTATTGATCTAATTAATGATAGTCTCATCCTTAACAATACAAAGTACTAAACAGATATTGAGCATTAACATAGAGAAGCATTTACATGAGTATTTCCACCATTATAATTGAAGATAATCTATCATAACAATCGCAAATGTTTTATTTCCAATATATTTGAAATAACGTCCAGTTCAATCAAACCAAAGTATATACATATACAACACAGTTTACCTTGGCCTTACATTGTAGCTTGTCCACAAAAACTAAATATTGCTTTAGAGACTAAAAAAATTATCCTAATAAACTGCATTTTAGTTAAAAAGAGATCTTTTTATAATGTTTTAGCTTCTGTTGAATAATGGACAAAATCAAAATGATGCACTTAAGTTTCCTTCTTAAGTCTGTGAGCACTCATCTTTAAGACTATGAGCAATTGCTTTCTAGTATAACACACATAAAAATATTAAGACTCATCTTTAAGACTATATAGAAGGAAGTACCTGGCACTATTATGATCTTCAAAAGTTGAAGAAAAAGGAATAATCCCCTTATTTGATGTCTACCATAACTAGGAATTAACGCACTAGAATTCGAAAATTGAAGTCAGAGGTCAGAGAAAAACCGCATATGCCATGACTACTAAAAAGAGCCCTACAATCCAATTCCCTTAAACAATCGACAATTATTTTTCCTTTTGAAGTGATTATAAAGATCCAGTGAAGAAGCTGGTGAAAATGAAGGAAAGGAATAACTAAAATAGCAACCGGACATCGGAAAATGCAGAGAACGATGCCGGACTCTAAATTGGAGAAGAGTGTTTGAGTTGAAATTGGAGAAGACCATGTGAGGATCGGAAAAAGAAGAAGAGGAATGAAATTTGGGGTTAGAGGCGTTCTGAGATTCTGCGATTATGCATTTAAAGTGAGGAACCGGGAGCCGAAATATTTTAATTAAAAGCGCGTGTTATCTCATGGGAACTGTCATCCAACCAAAAACCGTCATCTGAATGGAGTCGATCATATATATATATATATATATATATATATATATATATATATATATATATATATATATATATATATATATATATATATATATATATATATATATATATATATATATATATATATATATATATAA